TGAATTTACGATGTGGTGTTTTTCATGAGTTCTGGAAATGCCTCCATTGTCTCTTCACTTATTGGCGTTGCCAAATGACGCCTCTCTTTCTTACTGGAACCCTGACTCTAGTGGAAGTCGCTCAACCTTCATATTTTTCAATGTCTCGTTCACATTATCTACCCGTGTGACATCTAGACACTTTCTTAATTGTCTCTTCAGTTGTATCCAAGCTCTTGTCAAATCTGTGCATTGAGATTTTACTTACAATTATTACATATTTTCACTAATAGGCATTTTATTTTTCTCTTATTATATGTGCTTTGTTATTCTTTATAGTTTTTGTGTTCTCCACATGTATTTTCAAGCTGGTCTTTTATTTCCTTAAATGTGTTAAACATAGAGATCGTATGGTGTGTCTGTACATCTTGTGCTTGAAGTCTTTGTGACTGTTCCTTCTGTATTTCTGTCTGTATTTATACCCATACACACACCATGCTGCCTTATTGCCTTATTTGCTTATGCATTTGCTTTTCTTGGAATTGTGTTTGTGGCAAGTCTGAGGCTTGGGACGAAAGGAGATTTTTCCTGAAAGGATGCATTTGTGTTTGTTCCTAGAAGGTGCTAGTAAGGTACTCCTTTAAACTAAATATTTGGCTTTTTAATCCATCCAGAAGATTTGAAGCCAGGCAGCAAATTGGTGTGAAGGCAGCTTGTGGGTATACTTCTCAGGGTCAGCTTATTTCTTTCTCCACCAGTCAGACTCAAAGGGCTACAAGCAGCATTTTTCCTTGTGGTCCTTTGTGTGTTGTGTGGCCAAGTCCTTTCTCAGCTACCTTGTACTAAGGAGTCCAGCTCTATAGAGTGAGGGTCTCAGAGTTCCCACCTTCGGTTGGCCCCAGGTCTTAAGTCCTGTACTCTGTGCCCCACAAAGTGACAAATTTGAGGCTTCGGCTTCTCAGCTTAGCAAATAACCCCTTAGCAAGACCCAGTCTCAAAACTCCAGTTACTCTGCTAGATTCATACCATCATCTAAATTTTAGCCAGAGGATTTCTTACCAATGATGTTTAATATTAAAATATTTTGACAATATATTTTATGCAACATATTTTGCTATTTTCAGTGGAAACAAATATTTTACTACCCAGTCTGCCATATTACCAGAAACAGAAATCTGTCATTCAGTTTAGGACCATCATCTATTAATTATCTTTTAAGTGTTAGAAGCTAGGTGCTACAATATCAGATGGATAAATCACGGTTCCTATCTCAAGGACATCATGATGTGCTGGGGAGGTGGGCCTGGAGACAGACACAGCAGAGTGTGAAAAGTGCCATAAACACTCCCACTCTGCGTTTTGGGAGCCATGAGATACTTGGAACCCATTTGGCAGTTCAGAGAAGACTTTCTGATGTAAGGGCTAAAAAACAAGGTCCAGTTAGACAGCAAAAGTAGGAAGCCAATAGAGGGTATTCAGAGGAGATAGCAGGTAGTGTGCTTCAAGCTTGCAGGGGGGAAGAGCGTATCTATTTGACTAACAGTCATTCAAGTAGCACTGGAGTCTAGAGCATGAGGGCAGAGTGGGTGTGGAGAGATGACAGTGGGGAGGTCAGCATGCAGGACGTGAGAGCATTGCCAGGATTCTCTAGAAGAGTGACCAGCTGTGGACTGGGTTGGCTGGAAGCCCTCCAAGAGCACGAGTCTGGAACAATAGGTGTGGTTTGTCTCACTAATGTGCTTTTGTTTCGTGGAGGGAGCCACTTGCTAGAAATATTTCTAGCTCGTGCTTAACCAAGGTGAGAATAAAGCTAATTTTATTATACTGAGAATTTTCTAAGTCTTTAGGTCTCTCTAGGTTTCTCATGAACATATGCAGTGGCGTAAAATAATTTCCCCGTAGGTCAACTCTTGGTACAATGTTCTACTGCTCTGACGCAGAAGTAGGTGACTAACGATTTATGAATAGAACACATATACTTGGTACCAGGAAGGCCAAAGATCAGGTCCTGTAGATAACAGCTTATGTTTTGTTCAGAAAAACAGATTCACTTCACTTTCTATTACCAAAAATTCTTATGAATTTCAAGTAGTGAAGCACATGACATTTGCCTCGTTCTAAATATAGTAGGCAGTTAACAATATTAGTTTTCAAATCATGTTATATTCAACTCTCAACTTTCGCCTTTGAGCGGGCGATCACTCCTGGTGCCACCTTCCCACACAGAGGCTGGTTCGCTTTGCCCGGATCCCCACCCCTGGTACAAAATGCGTCCGAAATACTGCCGTCCACTCAGGTGATGACTCCACTGTGAGCCGCCTGCCTCATCAATTGCCCCCAGTGACCCATTTAGCTATTGTCTAGATTCACTGGCGTGAGCGGAGAAACTCTGGGAGGCCCTGTTCTGGGGAACCGACCTGAGCCACGGGGGTTGGCGGCGGGGGCCAGGCCTCCTCGCAAACAATTTTCTCCCCCTTATTATTAATTTATCTCTGTAAAGACACATATTCCAAATTAACTTGCTGTGTTATAATGTAATGTGGAATTGAAATCTTTGACAATGAATGCAGTTTGTATATTCCCTTTGACAAAGCACATAAAATCCTAAGGAATAGTTTGTTTCCAGTTTGGTTTGCAATACACCAGCTTTTTGACACTCGGACGCTTTTGGCAACATAAGCCCACAGTGCGACTGGGGACAGCAAGCTTATACTGCTCTAAAACAAATTAAAAAATTAACACACAGCATACACATTATGCACTTATCTCCATGGTTTTTCATTTGTGGTCTCTTGTAAATATTTTACCTTTAAATTTCTTAGAGCTGTTTTGTTTGACGAACATTTAACTTGAGGGTGGCAGTAAAACATATATAAATTTTGTTTCTAAAAATTCCTGGACAGTGGGGCAGCTGGGTGGCTCAGTCGGTTAAGCGGCTGCCTTCGCCTCAGGTCATGATCTCAGGGTCCTGGGATGGAGCCCCACACTGGGCTCCTGCTTGGCGGGGAGCCTGCTTCTCCCTCTCCCTCTGCCACTCCCCCTGCTTGTGCTCTCTCTCGTGCTCTCTTTCAACTAAATAAAATCTTTAAAAAATAAAAATTCCTTGTACAATGAAAGACGTCTTCCATTAAAATTCCTTATAATGCCATCTACCCAGACCACATATTTGAGACTTATCAGTAACTACAGTAACAACAGCAGAATCTCCCAAACAGGTCACCAGGGGAGCATTTTTGAAAGGACATGGATATTCAATGTGTATGGTTTGGTTTCTGACTCTAAAGCATTAATCTATTTTATTACATGATTTTACCATCTTTGGATAACAAAATTTATGCCCAAGTTTGGTTTTAATGCATTTCGATATAGAGAGAAATGGTTATTTCTGTTAACTTTGTCACTGATTTTATTGAATCGTATACTGATCGTAGCATCTAGATTAATACCATGCATCCGATTCAGTTAAGCACTCAAAAAAGTTGACTGCAGAGCTGATATTCATCAATATGAGTAAAACACCGAGTGCAAGACAGACATGACTCCTGATGGGATACTTTTTAGTGTCTTGGATCTAACATTTGATTTTTAAAGCCATCGTTATATGATTTGGTCCCACAACAAACTTTTCTAATATACAGCCAACCAACTGTCCCCTGGCATTTCTGTATTTTAATGTCATTACCACAGTTTGACGAAGAGTTTCTATACAAGAAATTTTCATAGGGAAAACAGGCAGTAATGCAGGCCATAAAGGAGAAGCAAGGGAGCCTACTGGGCATAAAGATCGGAAGGCATTCCTTACCACCTGCTGAGATGGCTCATTGTGACGCTGTTACCCAACTCTCAAGAGAGCAAGCAGCTCCAAAGGGTAAGACAGACCTCACAGCAGAGTTAGGTTATCGCTTTGGGTCTGGTAGATTGACAAATGAAACAACACTTAAGAAATGGGAGCTCATGTGGTAACGAACTTCATTTTTTGATTTGTAAATTAAATTTACATGGTTTTTTTTCCTTTCCTTATATTAGCAGTGTTCGATTTGGTCCTGAAAGTGTACGCTCCTTGAAGTTAGGGGGTACTGAGGTACGGAAAGAATGAGCTCCCCAGTACTTCCTGTAACGATGCACGCTCTTGCTGGCTGCAGTTGATTGTGTATTGGCCTGGATGTGGAGTTCTACAGATAAAAATATCGCCCACGTATTCCAGTAATTAAAACAAGTTATGCCTCCTGGCAATTACTTCTTACTAGTTTTAGTTCGGATACAATCTATGCCATGTGATTCAACAACTTTTCTTTGCTGGCAAGTGTCTAGAATGGAGCCAAGGATGGGGACAGAGAATCCTCAGTACACTGTAACAAGCAGTTTGGAAAAATGTGGGTTAACAGCTCTTTGAAGGAGTCAAGATATATATAAAAGGACTTTCTGGTATTTATTAAATGGTATACAGGCACTTGGTGGAGTCCACATCAGTGATTTTTGTTGAATAGTACAAAATCTCCGTCAAATACTCACATTCAATGAAGATGCAGTGGCCTTTGGAGTACCGAAAACTTAAACTACATTTTTCCTTTTTCCTTTTGTGTGTCCGCATGCCAGACTGATTTTATTATGCGCTCCAAGAGCAATGGGAGGTATCTAATTCATTTTAGAACCGACAGTGATAATTTAGTGATGACAGACTACTTCCAGATGTGAAATCAGACTTTCCCAGTTTAATTTTTTCCTTTGACTTAAAAATCCAACTTTACTGCTAACAGCGCCATCCCCCCCCCCCCCCCGTGGGGGCAAACTGATGCTTAAACTGCAGTTTAGGCATCTGTATGTTCAATTTGTGAGTTTGGTTTTCTTCCGACATTCCAATTTAGACTTCAGAGTCTTAGGTAGGTGTGTTCATACGAACTCCACCCACTAACTTCAAGTTTTAAGTTTTCCCACCAACTAGAAATCTTAAGTTTAAGCTTTGAACAACTTTTCAGTGTTTTTTACCTCACTGAGAAAACAATGGGCAAAAGCAACACTCATTAACATAAATCATTTAATTAGAATGTATTCAAGGCAACCTTCCATTTACACTACTTATCTGTTTTAATTTTATAAGACAAAATTTAAAACACTGTGATTAAGAGCAGCTTTCAAAATTCAGGTTTCAAGCATAACCATGTTATTTTATTCGTTCCCAACCTTGATAGAAGTTCTAAGTAAATGAATGATCATGAAATTTTTAGTATCAACTCCAACAGTTCTGCAAGAAAATACTTGTGGATTCATCTGCAAATGTTTTCTTCTCTTAGTATTTGATCTTAACCATTCTTTCCCATGACTTTCCTTAGTACCCAGTTAAGTAACCAGAGAATAAGTAATATCCAGTTACATAACAGGAGCATACATTAAAAAAAAAAAAAGTATCAATAGTTACAATTTCATCCTAATTTTGAGATGCTCTCTGAAACTGAACTGTTGTACAGCACATACGTACAAGCACTTTTATGATGGTGTGTCCTCTATATACTTCACAAAATAGCATAACTGGAAAAACCTAATTTTAATATACATCTTCTGGAAAAGTGTAATCACAAACTATCACTAATATTTTCTTTTAGCTGTGGAGTATTTTTAACATAATTGTTAAATGTTCGATTAGTTTAACTGTCTTCTAACAAGACCACAGAGAGTTACTATAAAGAGGTAGCTGGTAATTATAAAAAATTACATTAGGAAGGAAACCCAAATGTCATCTACTCCCTTCACTCACTCAATAGAAATTCCTCCCTAATATTAATATAACATGAATGATAGACTAATAATTTATTTAGAAACATACTCATCCGACTTTTCCAGGAAGAAAAAAATATTAAAACCTGCTTTACAAATTATACCTTTTGAGAAGCTAGTTTGATGCTTTAAGTCAGAATTAATTTTCTGGATCTGGTGAGGCAAGCTTAGATACCCACAGGAGCCAGGGAGATGAGGGTAAAAATTAAAGCAAGATAGGATGAAGGAAATCAAGTTAGTTGTGAAACCAAGGGCAGTAAGGAGTGTGTGTGTGTGTGTGTGTGTGTGTGTGTGTGTGTGTGTTGGGGCACGGGGCGGAGGAGGGGTGATGACAAACTGGGGAGTGCATGGTTTAAAGGGAGCATCAAAATTATTCATTTTCATCTTGATGGCTACCACCTGAGAATGCAGCCTTCAGCATTCTAGATATTTTGAAGTGCAGACCTTGTGAAAACATGTATTTTTAAGTCTAATCTTTAAATGATGGAAGGTAGTTAAAACAACAGCAACACCGTATGGGCCAGATCAAACTCCCTCTGTGGGCTGCTAGCACACACATCTCGTGCTCTGGATCTTACCTTTGCCAGCTACTTTCAGAAGTGTGTGAAAAAAATACTGCCAAAGCCAAAGAGGGTTCTTGTGATCAGAAAGAAGAAATTTGGAGATCATATGGACAAGAACTGGGAAACTGCAGGTACAGGGGAGTCATAAAACTTGGGTGTCAAGATGACATTTTAAGAGAACAGGTTTTAAACTACTGGAAACAATCTTTTTATCAGTTCTGCTTTGTTCAAGAAATTGATGAGACTAGTCCTTTTCATAGGACTGAGAAGACCGAGATTTGGCAGCATTCCTTTTTCTTACGTGTAAAGACTACAAATTGTACCTGTTTCTCAATTAGAAATGGTAACTTGTTTTCTTGTATGTACATCCAGCTGAGGACACTATAAAAGTCTGTTTATTGATTTCCTTTTCATCACTGAAATCAAGGCAAATAGTATAATCACCTTCCAGTTAAGTGATAGAGCTCCATAATGTCAGACTATCTTTTCTTTTAAATTGTGTTAAAAGCATCAAAAACTAAAAAGGAAAATGTGCATTCTTATTCTGATGTTTCTGGAGGGGGGAGGGAGCGTAAGCAGCACTTTCAGCTGCAGTTGGCTTGACAGCATGAAGCATATGCATGTTTTCCAGTCGGGTTTATTGCACTTCATGTAGTCAGTCATACGTGGTTCTCCATTCACATGTGATTTGAGACCTATGCAAACTTTTCTATATATATACAATTTCCACAAGTAAAGTTCTAAATGTCTTATACACACCACTACAGTATAAACCATAAAGATGTATTTGGTAATCAAAACTTCTCAATAATAGCATTTAAAATTATATATATATTATATATATATATATAGTTTTTCACCCTGGGAGCTGAGCTTTTTCCACAAGGTGATGTCTTTTGCCAAGAAGGGAGAGCAAAATCATAAGCAATGCGAAATCAACATTGTGTTGCTCTTTGCTGCACCTACCATCCACTTCTAATCTGAATTAATTCTTCCTCCTTGTCTCCCGCCCCTGGCAATTAGTGCAGCAGAAACACAGACAGGAGAGCACTATGCTTAGGTGAACCAGTTTGATTCAGCATTGAGTACCAGGTAGGCATAGAATTTTAAGTCTCTTTATAACAAAGGCATTTCAAATTAATTTTTTATGAAACAAACCACAGATAAAATTACATGTGTGTACCATATGAATATTTCTAAAAGTGTTGCCTATAAAATGTAATTTTTTTTCTATTTTCGATAAAGATATTAAGGGATTTGTGACAATGTTAAAAAAACTACCTTGGGCACTTCTAAAAAGTTTGTGAGTTGAAAAAGTTTTCTGAGTCATTTTTGCTATTATAATTTAGCATTACATTTCATTCTACTAAAAATCATTTCTAGAAATCCTAAAATAGCTAATTGTTACAAAGGAATAAAGACAGACATTTTATCCCAAACAAGCAAATGAAAAACAACAAAACACTGGAGAAACCCTGAACTGTCATATAGGATATATAAAAGTGTTATTAGGCTTCAATGGTAAAGAAGATTCTTGATTTGGTAACAAGCAATTTCATTTAAACCTATTGTCTGCTTTCACTGCACTAGAAAATTTAGATCCTATTTATCTAGTATTTTTAATTTTTTTTTTTTAGAAAACCTTAACCACCTCTTTTGTGTATGACCGTACACGTCTTGCCTTTGTGAACAGGGTGCTTCAGCGGCTCTGGGAGGACTCTATGTGTGTGCAGGTGGCCGCACTAGGGTGTGTGTATCTGCTTTCATGCTATGTTCGTCCTGACACTTTGCTCGAGAAAAACATGCTTAACTACTAAGTACATTTTTACCAACTTCTCGGCTGTAAGCTTAACTTTCAATTGTTTTGTCAAATGATAGCATAAAACAATAGACTTAGCATTTTATCGTTCTAAGAATTTGGTAGTTTCATTTTTAATACTATTACAACTTGTATTAAAATGGGATTTGTACTTTTTCCACCTTTTAAAAAGTCCTTTACAACTTTTCCAACATAAAAGGTGACATTATGACATACTTATACATGAAGTACCATTAACTGAAAATGAGATGAGACTGTATTCAGAGGCTTCAGAGAATGTGTAGTGAGTTGCATAGAAATTCATCAATTTAAGTGACACGATACCATGATGACTTATGGATTAGCAGCTTGACAAGTATCTTCAAATTTTTACAAAATAATATACGAACTGTACGGCAATGAGAATGATTACAGATAGTAGCATATTAAAGCTCTGTCTACCTAACAGAAATACACGACGCCCCCATCAAATAAACAACTGTATTTGAGCCAAACATCTCTATGATTAAATTAGCTGCTATCACTATTATATGTAATTCATTTATGTAGATATTCTATGGGAATATATAAATATGGGAGTACTTTGACAGTCTGGTTAATAGCATATCGGTATAGTTATGTCTTTTATAACATGTAACTTTCACCCCCAAGTTTTAGAACTTTAAAATAAATAAAGTGTAATTTACAAAAATAAGCCATTATTTACAAACATAAAAATTCATCCTGAGAACTTATTATCCAGGAGAACTATTTCACAGAAAAGGAAATTACCAGTACCTGTGAAATAAAAATGTACCTCCAGAGTTAAAGAATTCATATGTGGAGATCAATTTACCTAAGTTGCAGCCAAGAAAAGCATGAAGATATTTAATAAATCTTAAATTGATTTGCATGCCAGAAATGAATGAGATGTAACTTCTCAAATGCCACTGTCATTCTCCCTTAAACTTCTTGTATTAATGGAGTATTCTGGCTGTATTTTGGAAGAGGGTGAGAGAGAAAGAACACCTCAGGAAAACTCAAGGATGCTGTCTCATCTCTCCCTAGGGGTTACAAGAAGAGAGGCAGGGTGCATTGTCATTATTAATGGCTTACTTTGGACTGTTCTGAGAAACAGAGCCACTCTACCTTTGGCTTTACCTGGTTGAGCCCCCCAACCCCTATCCCCCACCCCAAAAGGAACACCGGCTGGAACAGTTCAACACTTTATAAAGGAAAAGTGTCTGATTAAAACACAAATGTGAATAAAGACAAAGCCTCATCAGATTCTTTGCTTTATAATGTGACCATAAAATTACCTACTTAACAGAAATGAAAAGAAATGGTTCAACAAAGAATCAAACTGGTTTTTTGGGGTATATCATCACAACGAATCTCTTTACTCTTTACGCTGTGAGCAGACAGTGATTATTTTGGAGAAGGAAGAATAAGAAAGTGTGGAATTAGTAATGCAAGAGGCTGAAAGGCAAGTGGCAAGACTAGAAGAATGCCTCAGACCGATGCTACTTTGTTCCCCATCTCTACTGGCACCTCCCCCTCAAGGTAAAAGGCCAGAATAACCAAAGCCATTTTAACAGTAGTGTGCACAACTGTCAGCTGACAAACAACATAAAAACAAGTCACGCTATGTTATCTGTGGTCACGTTCTTCAGGGTTAGTCCAGTAACTCAAGACTTTACATTCTTTTGTCTTTATTTGTTTATTTTAATTAAACACGAAAAGGTTAATAAACAGACATAGTCCAGAGTTAGTAGGTTGGTATTATAACATTTATTAAAATAATGCTATGGGTTAATAGAAACAGCAAAGAACCAAAGAATTAAAATGCAAGCTATGTAAAATCCCAACTAAAACCCAAAAGTGTCTAATGTATTCATTCATTAGCTAACTAAAAGCCCAAGAAAGACAAGACACCCAATATAATAAAGTACTGCAAAACAATTGGCAATTTTCAGTTATCAAAATTGTGGATTCTGCATTTTGTATCCTTTTCTCAATCAAGAAAAAAATTCTTTTTGAATGTTATATAACATACATATAAAACAAGATAGAAAAATACATTATAAACTTGTAACAATGGCTGTAAATACATTATCTTACATGTTTCTCATAGGCAATAGGTTGGTTATGATACATACATAGCATGAAACTACTAAGATAATAAAGAATTGACAAAAATACAAGTCAGCTGTACGGTAACATACCAGCGACACCCCCGTCTACCCACGCTAAAAAATTACATAATACTGTCAGAAAAGAAGTCTTAAAAACTACATATTTTAATAAGAAATAAATTCAATAAAGAATGATAATACTGAGAACCAAGGCATTCAGAGATTTCAAAAGTCATGCTTTTTTTTCAGTTGATCCAAAATTTTATCAACTAAGTTTTCAAAAGTTTGTTCAGAGCCAACATTACTCATAAATGTCACACATTTATTTCATACATTTACTTTCTTCCCCGTAAAAGACCTTTGATAAACATCTAAAATGTCCAGGTATAACGTAGTTGAGATGAAACTGGATCAAATACTGGTATTGTTTTTAAACTACTATCACCTCAAGTGTTTGAGTGTCGCAAATTTATTCAACCAACCAAACAAAATAAAAATCAAAATGGCACAGCATATATTGTAAATAAATCAAAACAACTGTATATGTAACAGAAAGACAAAGCAGTGGCACATTAAACCAACGCTAGCTGAATACAAAACAATGAATGTCTATTGCATAGTAAATAAACTGAAAACGGTTTCCAAGTGAGACAAGATGATGGAGGAGGTCACCACGAAGGTGCTTACTGAGCTTACTGCTGACCTTTGACTGTGAAGCCGTGAAGGTATGCAAGAGGGAATGAGCTGATGAGCTGGGGATCCACTGCCACTTGATATTTGCCACATCTGGTACTGAGCAGTTAAGGATTATTTCAGTGTTTAGAAGTAGTCGGCTCTGTGCACAAACTGCTTCAACTACAAAACTAACTGAATTTCATGAGAAATTGGAAGCTTAAACTCACAGGTAGTTGAGCATTTACATGCACAATGATGCCAGTTTTTGTTTTGTTTTTTTTAAGTTTAAAAAAAAAAAAAGGTGTGTGGGGGGTGGGGGCCTCTTAGGTTACTTAAACCAGCAAAAAGATACAGACTACCCAAGTGATCTGGTCTGGTAGAAAGAAGTCTGATTAGATTTGGGCCACTAAAAAAATACTGTTATCCAGAGTGAAAATCATAAAGATTCATTTTTGTGAAAAAGTTTGCTAAGAATACTATTATCTCCAATTTAATAAGAAAAAATCCAACACACCCCTCCTTCTCTGAATAAAATAAAGTTTTACTTTTCTCTGTAAACGTTCAGATCACACATAATTTTTATCTCAGAACCTGTGGGCTACTGTTTAAATATCACAATAACCAAAAGCACTCGATTATGATTTTAAAAGAATGGTGTTTTAAAACTTACTTGACCATTAGAAAAGTTATCAAATTTTTTCACAGTATCAGATTTGGCAAATTTCTGTCAAGGTAACGTGGCAAAAATCATCGTGGTAATTCAAACCATCAACTCATTTGTCTCCCCTCAAATCTTCTTTCACATACTGGGCGGGCGACTGAGTAACATGCATTAACTTGTATTCTGAGGGAGGAGCTGATCTTACAAGACACTTGACTAAATGACCATGAAGGAAAATAAGGCACTTTCTTTTCTTTAGACTTATTCCAATACTTAAAAAATAAAAAAGAAAGACAAAAAGGCTCTTTTGGTCTTTTGTTTCTTGACAACCACCAGAAAAAATCATTTAATGAAATAAAGGGTTTCTTTGTTCTTTTTCTTTTTTTTTTTATAACACTTGAAAGTATAAAATGCTACATTTCCAAAAATATATATATTTTTTTCTGCACCAGCACCCTTGTATAGTAAAAGTATCTACTTTTTGTTCATTTGTTTCAATGCACTACACTTTATCTACAATTTCATTACATGTATACAGCAAATAGGCAAGCATGGCTTTTACATCCTTAATGATTTTTTTTTCTATACAGGGAGGTTTTAAAAAAAATATTTGAACAGTTTGCCCAGTAATGTGACACATAATGCATGTACCTTGTTCTCATATACTTTTTAAAGGAGGTTGTAAAATAAAGGTTCAGTAATTTTAACTCAGATTATTTATCTTTTTAAAAATAGTGTTGCAGTTTTGTTCTTTGCATTACTTCTCAAAATTCCTTGTTTTTTCTCTCATGGCACACTTCTAAATACTTCAAATTTTGGCAGGCAATATAAAAAAGGCTGCAACTTCTGCCCTTTGAGGGCACTGTAGTGACTAAACAGCGTATCAAATTTTGAATACTTTTTGAAATCACTTCACCAATGACATCCCTGACCAAAGGTTCATGCATGATGCATCATCACACGTTACATTCAGAGAGCTGTGACTCGCTATGAGAAGGTTCCTAGAAGTCTCTCACAGTAACTGCCTCTGTCACTGAGTAGTTAAGGGCCATCTGTCTCCCCTTCTGAAGTGAGGCCTTCTTACCGTTTGCTTAGGGTAGGACATGAGAAGATGATCAGTGCTGTGGGATGAATTGGGCCTTATTGCTTTACTACTATTCAGTGCAGGTTCTAGAACCACTTTCACCCAAACAGAAAGAAAAACCAAAAGCTGAGTTGGAGGACAACAATTTCTTTGTCTTTTGTTTGGTTAGATGGTAAGACGAACGGACAAAGTGCCTCAGCTCGCTGCACTGACGACAGGCAAGCAAAGGCGATTACCAGTTAACTGATCAGCAGGCAGGCATGGTCAGGTCATCATTGGGTGAAGAGTTCAGAGGTCAGAAGGTCATAGGTTAGTTGCCGGTGGCGGCTGGGTGGTTAGAAACAAAAAACAAAACAAAAAAAAAAAAAAAAAAAAGAAAAGAAAAGATAGAGAAGAGATTAGTTTCAGCTAGTGACGGCTTAATGACAACATGAAAAACTAATCACAACTAATAAAAAAAAAGCATGTTTAATTCTGACAAACTGATTGACACCATCTACAGAATACAATAAAAATCATGACAGTTTCATATCATGATTTGAACAAATGAAGGAGAGCCCACTCCCACAAAAAAAAAACCAAAAAAACAAAAAAAAAAAAAACTGGTTAACAAGAAAAAATAGAAATAAAATACAACTAACAACTAATAGTTAGTAGCAGTCAATGAAGGAAACTGGAGAACAACAACAATGAATAGGTTTGATATACAGAATTCTGAAACAGTCAGTGCAGTTATCAGTATCTGACTGCTATTAAGCATTAGTATTCTCTCAGATGCAAGCATTAAAGCAACTATTAATGATGGATGTGATTATTAATAACTGATGATTAACAGAAATGAATCTAAAGAAATTTAAATTTCTATGAACAATTTGGTTCAACATAAACTCTGGGCCAAACAAGGTTTCTTTTGTTCAATAAATGTTTATTGCTTTTTCAATTATTCTATTTACAAACAACATGGAATTTCTTGGCCTTATGATACAAAGCAATACTAAACTGTAGTCTAGCAGTGTAGGCAACATCATGGGAACCAGAAAAAGGCCAGGCCTTTTGCACTGGCCAACACTTTCCAGTTGAAAATACTATTTTACACATATAGAACACTTATAAAATGCACTTGCATGTAAACACTGTAAAATCCTGCCATTTAAAATTCTATACTCAAAAAGCTCTAAGTACATCAAAAAATAGAAGAAATTTCTAATTGATACCAATAAGGCATTTTAAAACTACAAACAGCTTTCTTTATTCAATTTCAAAGCTAATACTCTGCAAATACAATAAAATCTGACATTTCATATACATTCCTGCTTTATATTTTATATTTTAAAAGAAGCCACCTGTAAATACTATTTTCTTTTGCAAAACAACAAAACAGAACAAAAAAAAATTAAAAAATTACAGTAAAACATAAAGTAGTTCTCAAGTGGAAAGTTATCGTCCCCAGTGTCCTCGAGTTGTTCCTTCCTTATAAATCAACCTCTGTCACATTCTGCTTCACCAAACTTGGTCCACTTAACAGTAGTATGATTTTTAAGACTCATTCAACAGCTTAATTATTTCTACTATATTCTGAGGTTTGACAGAATTTTCTGTACTGTTGCCATTGTGACTAAGGCAGAGGAGATGTGAATGAAAAAATATTCAGTGCAAAGGTAGATTCCATGCCACTTCATAAATCATAACCCAGCAGGTATAATGTTCACAGAGTTATTTGAAATGATCTATATAATGGACTGGCTTACTTTCATGTAACAAAAATGCTTTCTAGAGTCTATCATTTAGGATAGTTTATAAATACTACAAAAATACTGTATCTTCAATGTGACCAAATCTTCCCTGAATTTCTTAAAATAAGTGGAATTTTATTTAAAACAAAAACTGCTATTCCAAAATTAAAGAAGAAAATAAATACTTAACACAATGTAGTCATACCACTTCACAGGAAGTACTCCCAAAATACAGAATCTTAAAGCATTTTTGATATTACTTTAAATTTTGATTAAAATTGTATTAAGTTTCTTATGCAAATTATGCAAATGATGGTTTTTATAAAATCATCACTCAGAAAAATTCTGATTATGTTTTTGTGTGTGTGGAATACATAAACAAAGCAAATTACCACTTATATATATATATACCAGTACACCTAGAATACATCCTCTGCCAAGTCCTGGCCTCCTACAGTACACACAGGTGTGTCAACCGTGCAAAATCACTTATGGTTCATTACAACTAAAAAGTCAGTTGGTCTTTTACAGGCTTCAAATTCAGGTTTGAAATATGTGTAGAAGTGGGTTTATTTTTAGTAAAGAACTAGATATATTTGTCAACCATGCAGTACTCTAAATACTTATATAAGATTACATGGTTATATGTCCAAGGGCTGAGTTTCCTTGCATTAAATGAATGCTTGTTCTTCCCTTCAAAAATTAAAAAAGAAAACAAAACCTCAAAAATAGAGAAAACAGTAGTATCATAAAATAATTTAAATGAAGGACTTCAGACATCTCCCTCAGACCCAATGAGTGCATACGGTGATATAGTAACAGCAGTACACAAGTATTCTGTTATGTAAAGAAAATAAAAAAGGGAGCATTTCGGTTTGCTGACATTGCATTTTGAATAAAAGTGACAAGACTAATAAAAAAACACATATAACTACAAAAGAGCCATGCATGGAATGTGTTGTCATTTCCAAACACTATAAAATCTTCCTAATATTTTCAACTATCTCAAGGTACTGCAGCATTGAGTAGCCAATAATTATTGTGTTAAAACAAAATTATGAGAAATCTCCTAAAAGGGGCAGAAAGGGAAAGATTAACAGAAGAAAAACTACTTTAAAATACTCTTTCAAACTATTTCGGACATTAACAATGTGGGAAAAAAAAGCTTCAAATTATTCATGGAATTATCTGGTTTCCTTGGAATCTGAAGTGACTTAAAAAAAAATTTCCTCCCTCACTAGGAGGCTTGTTCTGCAAGAAGGTGGTACATACACTTGTACATGACACACCTACAAGGTGCTTTATTGTCACCGATCATCACTGAGCTTGGGGTCTATTTATTTTGATCACTGAATAATCACAAGTAATGTATGTATTAGTTAGAAGTCTTCAATTCAAGGCTCTTTAATTATGTATGATGCTAAATAAATATCATCAATGTCTTTGGAAGGTATTTTAGTCTGATGTGGACAACAGCTGTGTCCAATATTTATCATCAGTATTCAGGAGAACCATGTGAGGCAGGTAGGTCGTTCATAAGTTCATAGAAGATGTAGGACAGGAGTGTAAATTCCATCACTTTTCCCACTAATTACTAGAGAATCTGATCAACTTAATTAGTAAGTAATAAATGTGCCATAATAGAAGCTTGATAAAAATCTTTTTCTACCTTGCTTCGGATTCTTACCCTGTGATGACAAACTTAGAAAACAATTCAATGTCAATAAACCGAAAATATCACTCCTCAAAAACATAAATAATTTATAATAGGGTCCAAGGGCATATACAGGACACAAATTACAAATGTTGAAAAGGAGAAAAATGAAGACTTATTTTCCAGTCACAGGTTACTCAAAAAGGATATTCAAAGCTGGATTCACGTCTCCACAGAACTTTAAGAGATAGTTTACCTTCAGATAATATATTTTAGCAGCAAATGACAAAAATCAAAGGATCCATTTTGGCAGGAAAATGTTAAGAGTAAAAGGGAATTGATTTTCTCATTTATTAAAAAAAAAAATCCAACTGCATCAAAGTTATCTTCACAGTCCTTATTTTTGTTGCTTTCAGCTGAGTACTTGACATGTATAACCTCGTGTTTACACAGTGGCTCAAATATCTTATGAAAAAGGAAAATGGAAACTAAATCTTCAGTTTTCTCCTCAAGGACACAGGAGGCATATATTCCTTTACTTCTCTCATTAAAGCACCATCCGCTCAGTTCATTTGCAAAACCAACCCAAAATTTCAGAACAAAGGTAAATTTTAGCAAAAATTACGACTGAAAAATAATTAAGGCGACATCAAAATTTAACAGCTCCCCAAATGGACTAATTTATGTTTTAGTAGGAATAAATCACAGTACATACTTATATAGGATTTAATAAGTTAAAATAGGGAGCAAAAAAAAGGGGGGGGTAAGAAAGAAAAGAAAGAAAGGAAAAAAAAATCCCAACCCTTAAATTTGTCAATTATGACATATCAATTTAGAAAAAGAAAAGAAATGGTGTGCAGGTAAGCAGTTATATTTTTCCATCAGGTGTGGTGTTGCAAATTTTATGGACACCCAACGCATTTCTTATAAACAAGAACTGCAGAACTAAACTAACCTCGGTCTGCGGTCACAATCCTTTGGTAAGGATGGACACGCATATCGTGCCTTCGAACTTTAGTAGCCACCGCACCTAGTTAAATTGCAATTACCAAGACAAAGTTAGAAAACATTCACAAGGGAAAAGAAACATTAACAGCAGGTTTATCAAAATGGATTTCAAATGTTCATTTACTACAAAAGGTTCATTTTAAGAAACACGTTAAGGCACAGTAGTTTTAAAATTAACCATAGTATGTTGTGTATATACGCGTCTATTAATATTGCATTCATTTCAAAATCTTGGCCTTAACCTATTTTATCCATTCATTCACGATCCCAAGTTACAGTATTTCATGAACTCTACTAGATCCAAACATATTTAAGCTTTACTAGTCACATATTCACTGAAGTGCCTTTCTCGCAGGACCACTTAAATAATGCCATGTTTAATACTGACAATTATTTGCTAACCTTAAGACCACTTCCAGAGTTTATCACTTAAAAAGGTTTAAAAGCAATTCTTAAAGCCTACAGATTGTGGTTTTAAACTTTGAGTCAATAAGTATGAACTGCAATGAATTAGGTGATTAGTAAAGCAAACAGTATAGTACACTTAGCAGTCAGTATACTACTGTACACTCCTTTATAAATTACCGTTACTTTGTAAGATTACAGACTAAACCAAATTAATAACATACTTTTACTTTCTATCAGTGTGCAAAAAGTGCAAGTAAGTCACTGACTGCTAGGCTAAGCTTCCCCCCCACCCCCCTGGAGGCTGCTGAGACTAAGCATTTGTTAAATTCAGATCTGATGAGGGTTCAGTTAAGACCGTTCTTGAATTCTTAGCCTTTCGTTGGGAAAGCCATACCTAAAGATAAAAGGAAGGGAATTAAAAATTAGTCATCAATGAAGATTTGATGCTAATACCAATCTCCTCACTACCACCAACACACATGTCTGCATCTGTTTTGAAGGGCACTGCTTATTTTAAAATAATATGATGTGAAACTTGATATATATCATGCATGTTATCTGTGTGCAAATTTATTATAACTTAGCAATTTGAAATAATTTTCTCAGTTCTCCAAGTGCTCAATGTCATGTTTTACTGCTTAGGTGGCAAAGCGAGAAATAGGACTGATAATGGATTTTGGTCATTTAGTACTCATTATTATTCATTTTATGAATGCCAATTAGGTATCTGTACATTTTGCTTTTGTCAGTCTAATAATTATTAGAAATAAAAATTTCCCAACACAACAAAAAACACATTGCTTAAAATGAGAAACTGCAGTGCCTCTTGCTGTTTCTAAGCAGTAAACTGGTCCATCACCCCTTTTTCATTTTAGATAAACTAATCTTAGACAAGTATAATTCCATGAGGCAAAATCAGCAAGATCTTGCATTGAGTGCTGGAACAGCAGCTGGTGGCTAAGAGTGCCAGCCCTGCAGGAAGCAACAAACTCCTCGACCAGACGCTGTGCGTGCAGCAGAGAGGAGCTCTGGGGAGAGGAGCAGGCATGGGGCCACAGGACAGAGCGTTAACAGAAAGGAAAACGTAAACAGGTTACATGTTACATGTTATTTTAAAAATGCTTCAAGAAATGTGCAACAGAAACAAGCTTCTCATAAACAATTCTATAGTATAATTCTGACCTGTGATACTTTATACAATGATTTAGAGATAAACGGAAAACATGTACAATAAAATGTATTTGCTCATGAAACAAAAGGCACCTGAGTGCATGCACACACACAGATAACATACAGAGCATTGTGGCTTTCTTTAATTGTTGAACAATGAATTCTCAAGTTTAAATCTTAGTGTCCAGGTTCATAAAGACTTTCAAATTTTTATAAATCAACATTAATGCTGGAAAAAAAAACCTTAAAAGATCAAAGTCCTAAGAGTCAACAGCATGCATGCGGCACCAAGGTCATACACAATTCAAGGAAAAAAGTATTCAAATTCTGTCTGGTAAAACAAAGGGGCAGCACGGAAACACTTTGTCCCACATTGACTGGTCGTGTTATAACAGCTGCTGTATTCTAGTCCTTCATCCAGCAAGTCAATGGGCTGAAATATCAGGCATGACTGGCATTTCAATCCACTCTATAAAAAAAAGGCATCAGTAATGTCTTTTTCAAGCACACCACTTTTTGTTCATGTAAAACCAAGCGTTCATAGTATGATCTTAATTTTTGCCTCAAATGTGACTCTAAAACAGTGACTTGGTATTTACTTATCAATTCCATACTGTACTACTGAAATTAGAGGAGTTTCCCTGATGTCTGATATTAACTAGAACTTCAAAAGAGAAAAACTGAGGAAACCTGAAGAAGCCAACTAATTCACCTGGTCTCTCTCATATAAAATGTGATCACAAATATTAGAAAACACACAGACAATAACAGCAGTTTTAAAAAAGATCTCAAAATATTTCCACACAGAAATTTAAAATTTAGTTGACAATTAAATAACTCCCTAAGACAAAAGGAATCTAATTGTAGGCAGTGGAGCCAACGGAGGGGATAGGTCTAACTCAGAACGACCACAGTGATGTCAATGGTGAAAAGTATTGTCTGTTTAAAATGTTTACTGATTTACCAAAAGTGAATTTGAGTTACCAAAGAGAATCTGAGCACAAATTTAAGGTGCAATTCTTTAAAAGGGGAGCCATTAAGAGAGGCTGAAATAAAACGAACTTCAGGCTTCTGTCTTCCTAATGGAAACTTGTCTTGACTCTCTAAAACTAATACAATCATTTCAAAGTCTGAGGCACAGAAGTTATGAAGAAAAATACTAGCAGCCACACAGGGAGAACAACTTACCTAATACACCACTAGGTTCAATAGGATACTCAAGGATTGATGTAGCTGGTGCCAACGTGTAGGGGTACTCATAGGGTGTGTAGATCAAACCAGCTTCGGGCCCCGGAGGAACTATTGCAGCAGTCGGGTGAGGAGTTCCGTTTGGCATGACAGCGGTCTGTATCTGTCTGATCAAAGGCATTATGGTAGGGCCAGCTGGCGTAGGGGTACGCAGGGCAGCTGGTGGGAGAACAGGCGCAGGCCCAGTGATAATCCGTGGAGCAGCCTGGGCTGTTGCTGCAAGAGAAAAGGCAAGGGCTGCTACAGTAAGCAAAGAAATGTAGGAGGAAGTATAGAGACAGCAGTATAAAATATGGAAAATGAGAGGGAAGTAGGAAAAAGAAAGGAAAAGCAGGAAAGAAGAAAAATAAAAGGAAATCATTAGTACATGCGCTGATCACACAAAATGCCAAAGCACACCGATCAAATGCAAACAGCTTCCCCTTTCCCAGTGTGATTAAGAATAAATGTGCAAAAATTATCAAGCCACTGTATAAAAAAAAAAAATCAACAAAAAAAGAATGATACCATTAAAATAGGTTATATTTAGTTCATATATTTGATACATCTATGTTTTTAAGATCTCATGAGACTAAAGGTACATGCAGAAGCACATGAAAACACTCGCATTAAAAGATGTTAAAAAATTTTTGGAATTGGGAGTCCACAGAAATACAGTTTTGGTTTATTTCTAAAGAATAGCTTAAGTTTCAAATTAAAAAAAGAATAATTTTTATATTAACCGACCGACTACTAGTTTTATATGAATTTCCCGCATCTGTAATGAACTTCATAGAAAAGACAATATAAAAAATGTCCCATTCCTAAATATAAGACTATTAATGATCTACTCATTCTCATGAATAAATTAAAGCCAACCATTTTGTAAAGCAACCACTTCTGAACCCACTAAACTGCCTATACTTTGGAAAGTTGGCTAGGACTTTAAAATTCTACTTCTTTTAAAAAAAGCTAGTAATTTAAATGGAGATTATGTTCATTAAAAGACTTGTGAACTTTCAATTGCCTCAAAATATAAAAAAGCAATCCTCTTCAAGTTTATGAAAGCATCCACAGATATATCTAAAAGAAAAATGGGATTAAATATATTTTTACCACCTACTGCTCTCTGTGAACTCATTCACATATGAAATCAACAGAGAAAAATACTGGAGGGGAACATTAGCAAGCAACGTGAAAGGAGAGAATTTGACAGAAGGGTCACTGCTTTCAGATACATTCCAAATTAGCTTTCTAAAAAAAAAAAAGTTTTAAAAAAATTGTCTTTTGCATAAATATAACAAAGTAAGTTAGAAGCCTTAAATCTGTAGTTAACAGAATAGGAAATTTCCTGAAATTCTTAAATTTAGAAGTTGAGATTTCACCAAAACAATAAAGTGTATAAACCCACAACTTAGACATGCTGGCATAAAATAAAGGAGAATGTTCCCAATTCATGAAAGCAGTAAAAATGGGACTGTTATTCCGTATCAAGTGATGATTATTTCGACTCTTCACTTTGTATAACTGTTCATGTGTTGCGCTGCCAAAAGGAGAAAGGTTTGTGGACTAAACAGCTGATATGGCTATAACCATGGACCTCAGTCTCATTCTTACGTGATTTAATGTTGGCATCTCTGTAGGTGCCATTCAGAATTGCAAGCTCCATCAGCTGCATCTTCTTCAGGCTGTCTTCTCCCTCTGCCTATACATGGAAAACACAAGAGCAGTAAGCACTTAAGATGGTCCACGTACATCACAGCCATATTTACTCACAAGCCTTAAAATAAGGAATATGTGACTATAGCCATCTGCTTCAATCAGGGGAGAAGGAAAAAAAAAAAAAAAAGACCAGGGAACCAAAAGGTGCTGCTGACACACTGATACAAAGATACTCTCAACTACCACTAGCTACATTTCTGTGTGGAAATTTTTTATGTAAAGTACACAATGATTTATTAAAGTTTCCCAAAAAGCTTTGCTAAATAGAATAAATAAAAATGTTAATTAAGATTAAATATAGTATATTTATTCTCTTCAGCATCATTTTGTAGCAGATTCAAAAACTCAATGTGCTCATTAAAGGGGAAAAAAACCACCAACAACGCATAAAAAACCAAGCAACCCCCTCTCCCCACCAAACTGGGATTTTAAACATATAATGTATGACGGTGGTATTCACTTACAAGAATTTTCTGTTTAATTTTCTAAAAAGGAAAATTTAATAAAATCACAATCATAAGAATTTCTAAAATTTGAATATATATTCTGCTCTCTTATGCCAACATCCTTCTCTCCCCTCAATTAGTAAATACTATCATCATCCTAAAGCAAATCTATCTCTAGGGCCACCATATGATGCACTGTCCAACCCAGGAGACATTTAAAAGTTCTTAACAACTATGCAACAGTGACAGGCTTAAAAAAAACCAGGATTGTCTACGGCCATCAAAATGTTTGGCCATCCCATTTACCTTGGACTTGCCCTACCCTTTTGGTTGACTGTTGTCACCCTTGTTCTAGTCATTATTGGTGTATTATCAAAACTACTACAATATTATGTTTTTGGTATCTGTTCTCCAATCAAGCTATACAACAGTAAGATTAACTGCACAAAACACAACTTTTCTTCTTAACGTTCCTTAACATTTTCATGTCTTAAAACCCTTCATAGTTTCTTGCTATCTAAAAATATAAACCATTTAAGCTATCTGTGGATCTGGGCCCAAATTACCTTCTCAAGTTAAAGCAATTAGTCTTCTACTATATTTTACACCTATCTTATACTATAAATCAAATCAAATCACTCCATGTTATGCATCTCTGTGCATATTCCTATTTCCCATATCTTGAATGCTCCTCTGCACTCCACTCTACCCTCCTTCTAAATCCTACCTAATCTCTGCAAACTCCAACCTAACTTCTACCTTCTCAAAGGGCCACCCTGAGATTACACTGTTTCTACCTTGATTTATAGTTTCATGGACATCACCACTACCAAAGTAAGTTCCTTGAGAATAGAGCCTATTTCTTATTTATCACTGCCTATATTCCCATTCACCTTGTCCCACAAGTTATTTTTGCTAGGACTTCCAAATGATTGATAGAAAAAAATCTTTATTTCCAAATCTCAAATGTCTAAATCCTACAGGATAAGCATTAGCTACAGCAAAAGAAAGCAGTAGATGAAGGTCCATTTACCAAGGTTCTTTCCTGAAGATGGTGGTAGAAGATGTAGAACTATGTACTACTCACATATTTTATGCATTATCTAATCCTCAGTACTTAATATTTAAAAACAAAGTAACCCAATGACGCTTTTTTTCTGACCTAATTCAGAAAGGGGCAGGACCAGATGACAAGCTTCTCTGCCCTCCCTTTCTACTGCAACTGTCAATGATACACAAAACTCTGTCCTTGGCACTACAGCAGCAAAAAGGGTACCATAATTTATAGTAAACAGAACTGCTAAATTGGCTTTTAATAAACCACAAAGAATTAAAAAGATGAGTGAAAACATGAAGACAAAGTTTAAGGTGTCACTGCCAACTTTTCAAAAACCTCCTTTGTAGGAGAAAACAGAAAAGATACCCGAACGCCTGTGGAATTACTATTCCTTGACCCCTATGAACTTGCACAAAGATGACTGAGAAAAAAGTGAAGTAGTAAGATTTCTTTGAAAGCCATAGCAATTACTTGTTAATGATAAAAATAAGTAAGCATCAGCAACAAAAGGGACAAATGAGCAATCCATTATCTAACCCAAACTCCTTAAACTTGTTCCCTGAAAACTAGTGATATTAAAAACTCAAGTCATCTCAAACTCAAATCTATATATAATAATAGAATACCAGAAGCACAGAAATTATGCAATAGGTGTACCTTCTTCACTTTCAACAGTGAAACAATGGTGCATGTTTGAAAATACCAAGTAAGAGACAGAAATAAAGATGGAAGAAGTGATGTGGTCAGAGTGCTGTAGAGGGAAGAGGTACTAGAGCGCATGTTTTCACCCAACTGCTCTTTCGGATAACAATATAACCACACTCATTAGCTGGTGATGCAGTGTTACCAAAGAGAAAGATGATGGAAGAAATACATGTGTGCACATCAGGGTTCGTGCACGTAGGATGTACATATGTGCCTTCTATAGGTGCAGATGTAGTGTCATCAGCAGAGCCCACCCCTCCCCGCCGCCCCACCCAAGAGGAGACTAAAACCCAGAGCAGCACAGCTCTCACGAGGCAGCAGCAATGGGCTCTGCCACAATGACCTCGCTGGAGGCCACTGAGATTCACAAGTTATGAACTACAGTATGCACACTGATTACATCACATTATGGCGGGCTACACTGCACCTCCTGGCAGAGCACAAAATTTAGCTGCGAAGGCTGGTAGTCTCACTCCAGAATAAGCTTCACTCTGGCATCTTCATCACTTCTCCCCACCTCGCCCGCCGTTCTGTACTTATGGAGCATGATGCTGTGGTCTCAAGAGTTTGTAGAGTTCATTACAGAATTACTCTAACACAGAAGTGGTTATTTAAACCTTCTTGTCCTGGTTTTGTCAATGAAACTTGACATCATATTCCTGCCTGAATGCTGTTGAAGGGATATGCCATCTGTCTTTCAAATATAACTTCAGGTAAGAAAATGTGCTAAGGGGCGCCTGGGTGGCTCAGTCGGTTAAGCGGCTGCCTTCTGCTCAAGTCATGATCCCTGGGTCTTGGGATCGAGCCCCACGTCCAGCTCCCTGCTCAGTGGAGAGCCTGCTTCTCCCTCTCTCTCTGCCTGCCTCTCTGCCTGCTTGTGCTTTCTCTCTCTGTGTCAAATAAATAAATAAAATCTTAAAAAAAAAAAAAAAAAAGAAAATGTGCTAATATCTTAGGTAATTTCTACTAAGTTTTTTCTATAGTCCAGAGGCTCTAGAGCTTTTACTAGCCAGGCTTCGTATCAGGAGTTTATCTGATGTTTCCTCTTCTCTCAAAGATAAAAGCTGATCAAATATGGCATCCTGAAATCATACATCTCAACTCTAGACATTTCTAAAGGCATTTTCGTAGAACTTGCACAGGAACAAACCCCTTATAGAGATGGAACACTGGCTTTTCCTTCTGTAACAAAAGAAGCTGTTCTTAACCAACCCAACCTCAGGTCATAAAAGGGTATTTTATAATGCTGAATCAAAGTGTTCATCTAGAACTTTATAAATCCTCATTTCTCAAGTATTTGCTCTATATTTTAAAATCCGAGATATAATTTATATGCATTGAAATCCTGAGATCTTAAGTGCAACATCCAGTCAGTTTTGATGAATGCACATCAAGTCACAGGATGGTTCAATCAACTCAGAAAGTTCCGTTGTGCCTCTTCTCACGCAAGATCCTCCTCGCCCTCTGCCTCCGGAAACCCTCGATCTGATTTTTATCACCAGTTTGCCTATTCTAGAATTTCATATAACGGAATCACAGAGCATATACTCTTTGTCCCCTCAGCATTATTTATGAAACTCTTCTGTACTGTTGCAGGGTCAGCAGCACACCTCTTTGACAGCTGAGTAGTATTTCATTTATTTATTTACCCATTCTTCTGCTATAGACACTGGGATGTTTTTGGATATTGTGCATAAAGCCACTGTGAAAATTCTCATACAAGGTATTTTTGTGAATATAGTTTTTTCCCCTCCATTTCTTGAAGACACACCTAGAGGTGGAATTGCTGGGTCATAGGATAAATGAGTATTTCTCTCATAGTTTGTATGAAAAGCATTATGTAAAGGTTACTGAAACATTATGAATAACATACCTTTGAAACATAAAAGTTTAAAAAATATAACAAAGACCTGCTAACTTCTCTATAGGTCCATTGCCCCATATCTAAAACCTGTGGCATCAGAAGTATTTTGAGAATTTTTCAGATTTGTATAAAGACAGTATACCAAGGATTACATAACATCCCCGATGGGTCTGGAGGAATACTCCAATAATCCAATCTGTGATAAACATAAAAATACACTAAGTAGGATAAAGACAGATTATTTTTCTTTTCCTTTCTGAACTTTTTGGGGCTTTACAATTATGGAAGACAGATTATGAACCTGAATAAATAATCTAGGCATATATTATAATAAATTACAGCTACGGTACCAGCTATGTTTAACAGCTGTTAATGTGACAGAATTAGGTCATGGTTAATACTAGATTGAGAGTGCAAAGGTCTTAACATTTTAAAGCAGAACGATTTATACACTGCTACACCTTAGATGTCAGATTTTCATCATCTAAACATTTATGCTTTATAACACATCTATGGCAATGGTACTGTGTTATCCCTGAGGCCTAGAGGTTAGGTAGCTTATCCAATGTTGCATATGGTCACACTGCAAAACTGGCTTCCCATCCAGCGTACCTGATCTAAACTCCTTTACCCTCTCTTCTATGTAGTGCCTTTAAGTGGAATTATCTTTTGGATTCGTCAAAGACCTCACATAAGAAATTAAGAAAATCATGTTTATTTGGCAGCTTTAAATTTATAAAGTACACATTAAAAAAACTCCACTACAACAATGTAATTAATTACAAAAGAGAACTGAAGCAAATGTATGAACATTTCCAAATCATCATAATGTGACTAGTAAAATAATTTGCCTATAAGAGAAAAGCATAAACTTTCCAGCTTAGCAATCAAGGCAGTGAACAACTTCTATA